AGACTGGAATGAGTCGGACACAATGTATTCAGTATTCAGCAAGAATGTGTTATTGTTCTTCTGGGTAAATTGTGTTTAACTCGGTGATAAAGACAATTACAAAGTACATAGGGAACATTTAAATACACAAACAATGGTTTACAGTACAGAGGAGATACTGTGGAGAGTGAAGCCCTTAACCCTCCTATTGTCTTCGTTTCCCCCCCTTACTTTGGTGTTAACGGTCAAATGTGACCGGTCCTGTTTAAACTGCCATTACATGAACACAAAAACCATTCATCGTCACCAAATTTCATTTAACACCCTTTCAAACTGTACATATTGCATCAGACTACTGGTACACATGAAAACCTGCAGTAAATAAGAATAGACACTGAACATGTATTGTGTTTGCTAGGTGTGATCCATGTGGGGGGATGGGCACATAAGAGCGGGAAATGTGTCAAATTGTTCTGTGTGTGTGTTTGTGAGTGCCATGTGTGATTCACATGGGGGGACACATATAGAGTATGTGTGTGTGTGTGTTTGTGTGTGTGTTTTATCTGATCCGGATGGTTACTAATTCCTTTTCTTTATGGCGGTCATTTTTGACCATCCAAAATTCAATGAAAGCAGTGATCAGCAATTGTATATGTTCAAATGTCTACTGTGAAGGATATCATAAAGCCTAAATGCAATCGAATGTAAAACAAAAAAGTTATGATCGATGAAAGTAGTAAATCGGTCAGATTTGACCCGAAGACAACAGGAGGGTTAAACATATAGTAAAAGGTTATCAGAAAAGTAAATACAACATTTAAAAAGTGTTTGTGTTGAGATGGATTCCACCCTTCTTTTAAATTCAAATGATGTGTTTTATTATTAGAGGATGGACAGTAGTACTTTTTGCATACATTTATGCCTCGAACCTTAAATGTTTTCCTACCATTTCCCTAATACGCCTAGGTTCTCTCAAGTTGACTAGCTAATGCTCTAAAAAGTTAGCTAGCTATGTGGCTTCTATCTTTGAAATATTTTCTCCATCCTTGCATTTCTCTTATGAACCAGTAAGACCCTTATAAAGTTATCAATAGTGCAACGAAACATGTTTTGTGTCAAAGGTTAAGAACACCATTGTTTGTTTTTATATTTGTTCTGTTTAAGGAAAGTCAGTTCTTAAACAATATGTTAAAATACAATTGGATTGTAATCATGCCTAAAAAGCACAGTCTCAAACTCTCATGGATGAAGTTCAATGTTGGATTATAACCATGTCTCTTCTTCTTTCCTCTGTCCTCTTCCAGATCCTGGTGGACTCCGTTACCCAGCCTGCCTTGCTGTATGAGAATGTGGCGGTGAGCGAAGGGAGCCCCCTCCTGAGAGATCTGCTCTTCAGCCCAGACCATCAGTACTTATACGCCCTCACTGACAAACAGGTAGGAGAATACCATGACTGACTAAATATACAAGCATTTATCACACACACACACACACACACACACACACACACACACACACACACACACACACACACACACACACACACACACACACACACACACACACACACACACACACACACACACGCAATCAAGCCAATTACATACATACCGTAGTAATACTTATAGCAAATGAATACATTTGCATTTAGCACTATAATACACTCACACACAAGTCTAGAGTGCTAATTAAATCATGAATATGAATGAGTGTAGGATGAAGCCCCATACCCTCTTTCCACTGGGGATGCAGTGTTACATTGCTATGTGAAAGCTTAATTATTGAAAAGTATGCCAGCATGTTTTATTATCTTCCACGTTTAACAAGAACATTTATTTGAAGTTAGGTTTGAAAGGTCTTTTGGTTTGTTTGTTTGTTACAGATACATAACAATTAAACTCTAAATGCTTGGTCACATTAACATATGGATTGAAACCATTTCACGGTGAAATCAATTAGCAGTGCTGACCTTTGAGAGTCCTGAGAAGTGAATCCATCGAAGTGTGTTTGCTGTTGCATCATCCACTTGTCTTCAAGCTCCTCTGTCAGAGTTGAAACTGCTCCACCAAAGGATGTGCTTTGCAGACAGTTATTAAACAAGAGTTCTCTGTTGAATTATCTTCATTACATTGTTAACAACTCTGCTAACACACTTGCTAATGACAGTCAGCATGGACCTTTGTGTCCAAAATCAATAACTTGATTTAATGAAATGATGTCCTGTTATGCAATCCGGAGGGACATTATTATCCAGCTGACCTATGAGTTGTCAATATGTCATGGAGATTGTAGATTCAAATATGTTGTGAAGAAGAACAGAGTCCTGTTGCCAAAGTCAGGAATGATCTGGCCTACTATTAAAGGGTAAATAATGCATTGAAGGATGGAATCGGATAAGGAAAAGAAACGCTATTTTGTCAGATTGTACAGCCAGGTTTTAAATGGATCGTTTTTTACTTATGATCGATTGATTTATAAAAATCAATATAGTACAACTGAAGATAAACAAGAAAGGGGAGGACTTGCAGAAATTGACTGCAAATCGGATTGATAAAAAACAAATCAAACTAAATGACTATAATAAATTGGTCCTGACGTACTTTTGCTAAATCCTTTTGGAAGCTGCAAGGATTCTGGTTTAACAATGGTCAATGACATGAAGTGTCATGATGTAGCTTGTATGTTTATGTTATACCTGCATTATCTCATGTTCTTTATTGCAGAGTGATATGTAGAATGTAATCGTTAACAGAGTGCAGAGGTGTTGTTATCCTGAAATAACTTCATCCATGAGAGTTTAATACTGCAGTATTCAGAGTGACCATTTCCTCTCAGCTCTCTTATCTTGTAACAGTTAATGACTGCGATGTGGTAACCTTCAGAAAATACTTACACGATACATGAACATTAACTGCCATGCAAGTGCTGTGTAATTTACCAGCAATTAGACATAATTGACTTCCATGTGTCGGAATAAGTTCAAAGAAAAGTGGAGTGTAATTGATACGAATGGACAGCGTTTGTGACCCTTCGATCACGGATAGCAGTCAATAATGTACTGTACAAAAATCTATTTGAAAGCAGAGGGAGTCCACCCACACATATTCACTGATTTCTGAAACACAAGCACTAAATCATGGACTCATCTAAAGATTGGAAAAGTGGATTTTGAATACGATTTAATTCCCAAGTGTATTGACATTCACACTGGGGTTCAACTGCAGTATTAACAAGATGTAGCTTTAGACTGTGTGTGATCTATATACAATATAAGGGCAAACTATCAACGGACACTATAAGATTCAAGAGAATGTATCATCCCAGTGTTGGGCTTGTGTTCCACAAGTGTTTCTGTTTTAGTCAGCAGCTTCGCTACAGGAAAAGGAAACCTGAAAGTCCATGCTTGGAGTGTTTGCAGATTGTAACTGTCATCCGCAATAAAGACGACTGCTATTGCCACCCAAAAGTCATTTTGAATGAATAAAGCCAGTGTTTTATTATTGATGAGTACTGCTACAGTATGTCCACTACATGTCCGTGCATGTTAGCACAATGACTGGAAGCCTTGTACAAAGAAATCACTGTGCTTTCTCTTTGAGAAAATCCAAGGTGGTGCTGTGCTACATTTAAAGGCGCTGTATTTGCTCCTTCTTGCAGGAATGTTCTTCTTGAACCGGAAGATTCAGATTCAAAATACAGTTGGTCAATAAATACATGTTATCCAGTTAAGGGTTCAATACAGTATATCATATCAGTTTTACTTTTAAAATATTTGTTGAAAATATTGATATCATTCACTTATCTGTCCGGTGAAGCTACAACAAGCACAATTTGCCTAGCGTTACTTTAGTGGAAGAGTGAAGACGGGGAGAAACAGTTGTGTCACTCTACATATTCCTTATTCTACACATCCAAGACTCCAGAACACGTTGACATCTGTCAAGGAGCGTTCAGGTAGATCTTTTGATTTTACCTAGGCGTTGCCAAGCAAGCAAATCCCCCATGCTTTCAATTTCTATGCTCGCATAAGTTCCCATTTGTACTGCTGTTTTTGCTTAATGTTATGTGAGAGGAATTGTCTTCCTAAACCTGGACAGTAGACACATTACTGTGCATGCAGTCAGTCAACGAATACAGCTGATCAACTTTGGGGTTGCATATTCAACAATTTGGATATACTTTCTTGCGTGTTTGGTGAAAAGATTCACTCAAACTTTTGTCTGTTAAAATATGAAGCAACAGTTAGCAGAATAAGCCAAGCGTAAAATAAAGTGTTGAATTAGGTTTGCTTAAAAAACATCTATAAGCATATACAGCTGTCAGGGTGTTTTCAGATAGACTTTGTGTTGTAATTTGGACAGAGCCAGAAGGAGAAATCCTATATTATTACATTAATACATGTATTATTGAATGTTAAGTAAAACATGTATTTGTAGTAGTATACTGTTACTTCATAGTGACAGATACAAATACCTCCCATGTTCCTTTTGAAGCATGTATGACAGTGGTATTAACAATCTCATGTAACTCACTTAGAAAGTAAATAAGGGTATTACCAATGATGTCCATGGCCCTAAATGTTTAATTATTCCTTTTAAAATTCACACTAGCGCGATACATTGGTAGCTAACATTTAGGAGGCATCCAATGTACAAAGGCTGTATTATTTTGAGCAGAAACTGGGTTTGAATCCGACCCAAGGTCCCTTGATGCATTTCCTCCCCTCTCTCATTAAAAAGAAAGTCTAAAATATGAAATTCAATAGCATTTTGGCAGATGTATAGTTTTCCTTGTACTAACACATTTACATTTTTGCCTCAGAACTGCAGCGATGTGTCTTTCCAGTCTGTGTAATTTGTTTCTAGCTAATTGACAGAGTAGAAGACATGCCATGACCATCTCTTTGTAAAGCAGTAATGGCCTGGCTCCAACGTTGCCCAAATTCACAGTCCAGTCAGAGAAAAAGTACAAAGAGAGAGGTGGGGAAATATAATTGGTTTGCAGGATATGGTCTGTTCTTTTCTCCGACTCCTCCTGCCTCATCTTTTCAATATTCTTAGGGGTCCTCACTTCTGTCGCTCTCTGAGTTTTCTGCAGTAACTGCTCTCCCAGTAGCAGATTCAGAAGGCGTAGAAAAGAATGAGGGTTCTTCCCTGTGCTGCAGAATGTGAACTTATGTTCCAGAGGAAGCAGACCAGTGTGTGCAGAGCCCCCTGGCCCGTGAGGAGAAGCACCTTCGTAGCCAGAAGCTGAGTGGACTGAAGATAATGTTTTGGGGTTTAAGGTTGCTGGCCAGCCCTGTGGTGTACACATTTTATTTTTCCAAGCCAAATAAATGTATGAAAAATAAATAATCTGCAGCTGTTTCCTTTGGACTAAAATAGAAGTGTAGTAACATTCAGAACTGTCACAAAGACCAAAAGCTATAGGGGGTTTTCAAAATGACGGCAAGAGGCCGACGGCGTGCCACGTTTAAGAAGGTGAACTGTTTAGCTCATCTCGAGAAGCTAATGATACTAGGGTGTAAAGTCAATTCAATGATTTTAATGTTCAAGCACTCTGTTGTGTTGGACGTTTGTTATTAGCAAACTGGGAATATAAAGTCAAGTCAAAAATGTTGAGTGTATGATGGCTCATACTGTATAAGGCAAAAGCTAATTATGATCGGCGTTGTAAATAGCTAATTGTTTTTGTTCAGTTATATCTAGTTAAAAAGCCGCTAACGTCAATAAATTAGTAATTTTCAGAATTTGTTTCAGGTAAAATCAAGAAATTCAAACTCAAGAAAAGCTAATCTTCTAAATGTTAGTGTAATGAATAACGTACAAATATACTTATGAAATATAAATCCTCATTATCATGATCAAGGAGGTTAGATTTCCATTCAGTTGTTTGTCAGCCTGATTGCTTCTGCCAAATGTTCATGAAACTTGGTTCAAGGTTGAAGCTTGGGCCAAAAAGGGTTGCAATAAAGTGTTGGGTGTATAAACAAATAGATGTTTGTATGTCATTCATTGACATTGAGAGATAAGGAATATGGCCTTGACAGAAGTCTCCACTCTTTGGACCACTGTCAAACTGCTGTTTACTGCTGGGTAGTTACACATTGTGCCGTGTGTTTACCATAGCTATTTAGCATTTTTAACTTTTGGGCTGGAGAAAATAATGCAATATCTTCTGATGGAAGCAGTTAATCTCCCTTCTTAAAACCCTGCGATCCTTCCATTGGCTCGCAGACGTCAGGTCCTCAGTGAGGCCTGCATTAGAATTTTTCTCACCAAGCAATTTCAATGCCTCTTAAGGCCGCTACACACCAACCCGATTTTGGGAGTCAGAGGCCGTCAGAGGCAGTCGTGCATTTGCGTCGCCCTACTCAGGTTGGTGCGTCCCGCACCGTCGTCTCTTTACGGCACATTGTCACACCTCCCACGGCCCG